GTCAATGTAGAAAAAATTTACTTTTTTGGATTGTCTCGGGACTGGGAATTTGAAGTATCATCTCAAGTGCTTTAGTTACTTACTTTGGAATTGGAGCACGAATGTGATGTTGTCTAATATTTATTCATAAAAATCATAAAGTTACAAAAATACAAATAGTAATAGCTTTAGTTACTTAAGAATGGTTTAACAGATTTGAGCAGGTACTGTAAACATCACATATCAGTTAAACCTCATACAAAACCAATATCAATCAACACTACTGCCAACTTTATTTTGTGGTCGTTTTGTGTTATGTTTGTAAACAGCCATATTTATTTACTAATATTATGCCCCCGAATATTGTGAAAAATAAAAAAAAGAATCAAAAAATAAAATAAAAACAGAACAAGTCCATAAATTCACTTGGTGAGTTTTCATTGGAGGTATTCTTAAAATGTTGAATGCTTGTTTACCGTTAGTCTTTGGCACATTATTGTCATAATTTGAACATAAATTAATGGAATGCAATAGTTAATGTAGATAATTAATATAGTTTCACCCGCACCCTTACTCTTCAAAACCAGCTCAAATTACTTCTTGGCGGCACAAATAGGTACAGCTGCAGTACTTCTAGCTCTACTAAATACATTTATATAGAACACAACTTTATTACACATACATACACACTCTATATAGAACACAACTTTATTGAACCTACCACAGTCTACCCTGTCCACGGGCTGATCTGGGGTCAGGACCTGAACGTATAAGGTCACAATGCTTGCACAGGCTATAGTGCCCTTCCCGCATAACCAAGAGGTTAATTGGAAGGGTCACTGTAATCAAAACTTACGTAGAAAGGTGTGGGACTTAACCTGCCGTAGGGAATACGTGTATAATTTTAACCATGTAACGTAATATTTGATATTACTTAGTTCGACAATGGCTGAGCCCTAATTACATCTCAGTACCCCACACGGCTTCAGATACTCATACAATTCTTCTATTCCATCTTGCTGAATTCATAAACGTGTTTATCATAAAATTCTGATGAAAAGTTAAGAAATAAATCACTTACTTTTGTACACAATGAGCAGCAGTCAACACGTAGTCCCTGCTAATAATAAACCCGCCACAGAATGATCTGCCATTGACAACCATCGACACTTGGTAAGGATGTCGGCTGATGGAACTCACTCGCCCCCCAATAATTTGACCACTTAGATCTGGACAGGCCTCTTCCAGTCCTCCCAATTCTTGAATAATTTCGTTGTCGTCATCATTAGGATTATTTTCGGGATTTTGGAGATTTTGAGGATCTGCCTGATCATTATTTTGGGATTGGTCATCTGGACAGTCGCAATCTGTTGCTTCTTGAAGTTCTGTAATCGATTTATATAACTTCTATATCAACAAAAATGTAAGTAAACCTACGGTGTAGAAAGCGATAGAAATAGTTAAGGCATTGGGAGTTATAGATTTTAGTTGCAAAATTATATTTTTTATGATAAAATAAGTGCACATTTGACCTCCATCTCACCAGGTGGAAAGTGAAGACAAGGTTGCATGACGATGGAGCACGTGCACCTAAATAATCCCTATTCACTCTCGCCTTGAAAAGGCCCAAGTTATACCGTTCAGGGTACAAGTCTGCAGGCAGGGAATTCCACTCCATAGCCGTTCGCCATATACATGTGGAAGCGTCGCTTCGTGCTAATCTTTAGAATAAATTAAGGAAGGTATACTATAGTACATGCTGTAAGGTTATAAATTACAGTATAATTACTATTACAGCTACTAAACTGACTGATCGGCAATAAAAGTAAAAATAAACCAAAAAAAATATTGGAATTAGAACACACGTAGATTTAAATTTATTTATATTCCATTAAATTAAATTCAAGATATTCTTTGATCAAAATTGGTTAAATGTTTTTGGAAGATAAACAATTTACAATTTATAAATAGGTACACCACATCAAATGAAAGATTTAAAAATGTCTAAGATGTTACGTAAACAACCTAAAGTGTACAATTAACATGTTAAACTGATTTACTGACTTTGATCAATCAGCACAGCATATATTAACTCCCAGCACAACAGAAATACATTGGCAGAAGTTCAGCGTCTTAATGACAAAGATGAAAGCAATAAGCCTAGACATATATTTATATTTAATTCACTTACCTACAAAGGTGACAAGGCACAGGTATAAAAGTAGATGCGGCAATTTCGCCATCATCTTCGCTGCACAAACATTAGCACTCTCTCGTAAAGACAATTCAGATCGACACCTTTCATGCGAATAGCCACCGGCGCTAGTTGATATCCAAGGTCCTAATTTTTTTGTAAATTGCCCAATCAAATGACCGCAATCGGAATTTCTCACGGTCGCAACCTTATTATCATTAGGGTTCTTTTATTTAGTGTTAATTGTACGAATGGATAAAAATGGAAAGCGTAGTCGTAAATTGCACTTGATTGCTGCGAAACAGCAGCTAATTTCCGAGAAATCATGAAAATATTACGGATTTATTGAAAAACAATTCATTTGTTTGCAATAAACCTAAATTTAACCTAACCTAACCTAACGCCATTCTGTTAAAGATAGTCCAGAAAATTTTCGATGACATTTCATTCGGGCTAGCGTGATGAGCAATGTCTTTAAATGATATTGAAAACCAGTGACAAGTAAATTAGCAGGTACTACATCCTTGCGAGGGAAAGGACAAAATTAATTTCAATTACAACTGTTAGCGTTAAATGAATTAAAAAGTCAGTACGCGCATTATTGTGTTGCATTGAAATATAAAGAATGAGATATTTTGAACGCCGCAGAATCGGCATGAAAATAGAACTAAAACATAATAAATAGGTACACGCTAATCGAGTTTCATCTGAAAAAACTACAGAACTCTTTTTATATCTATTAGAAACTTATATTTTCGAAATCTGTTGGACGATATAATTATATTATTTGTTTTATAAACAAAAAAAAACCCCAATACCCGCCATTATTTTACTGGCATAAATTTTTCATATTTTATTTATCATATAAATAAATATTCCGATAAATTTTACTAAAATTTACAATACTTGCTCTTATACTCTAATAATATGTGGAATTTGTAATTGTAAGTAATTACGTTTTAAAGGTTTATTTTAATATACTTTTTGTTGTGAAATGGTTACGTTGTGCCACCAATTCTAAGTCCTTGATAACATTCAGCTTTATTTATAATATAACGATCACCAAAATAGAATACATGTGCTGTTTCAAAGTAAATTCATGAATAGGGAACGCATTGCGAGAAAAAATTTCATGACGACGAACGTTAATAAACATTTTGAACCATTGCAGTTGAACCCGAATCGACGAGACTTACAATAATGCTAAAATATGCCGTGAGCGTAGTAATTATTAATCATTTTGTTTTTCAACATAGTTACGCATTGCCAGGCACTACATCAAATAGGTAATCGGACCAAATATGGTTGTTCATATTATAAAGTAATCATGAGGTCCTTTATAAAAGCTGTCAATATACACAAATAATACTGGTGTCATACCGGTAAAGCATCAAGACTCCTTCTATTTTTTTTTTTTGAAAATGCCACGAAATATTACTACTCCCATAGAAATTAATCATTTTGCGTGTATGCATTTTCGTTTCATAGTCATAATAGTAATGGACATCGAAAAATTATTTATTAGACTAATTAGATAGGATTACAAGCCCACCTGTTAACAGTTGTTGAATCACTACGAAATGTTATAATCGAATAGGAATTTACGATCCGGAATGAGGTCACTGCCTGGCCGGATAAACAGGAGATCTATTTCTAAAATTACTCGTTAAAAATGTTGTGTTTATTTACATTGGACGATAAGGGTTAGCTTGGCACAGACGCAGGGTCGAGTTCTGTCAGATCGTAGGAACTTTTCCTTGTGTTTTATATTAACAATTATAACAAACTAGTGGAGTAGTTTCACCAAAATCAATTATTATCATGGTAGTAAAATAGCATAATGTTCATTACAAGCAATATTATAGGGTATCACGTGATATTATGTAATAGAGCATAAGTATTTAGAACCAGATGTCAATCAAGCTTTTCTCTAACTATGATGGCTAATCACATAATACTGCGGTCAAAGTATACAATTTTATATAAACGACATTTCAAATCGCGCCAATAAAATTATGTAGGTAGCGTTTTGGTTTTTCCTTTACCAAGGCAAGCAACATGCTATACAAATTAGTGGAGAGAGGTTTGCAGTTAAGGCAATTATGGTCATAATTGCCTTTATAATTGCTTCAATACTCTCTCTGCTTTACTAAATTATATATGTGTAGAGCAGCGTAGTCGCAATATGTGACAAAGCTCTTTAAACAAATAGAAAAAAAAATGCAGGAAAGTTTGGCCTATACATTTTTTTTAGTTTTAAATTTATAAGCCTCGAAAACCAGTTCAAGCATTCGACATCTAACGAGGGAGTCTACAATAACCGCCCTGGCCGCAAGCCAACTGGAGGGGAGCTAGAGACAACATGTTTTCAGCATTGTCTCGACGGTTCCGCTGTAACACGAGATTACACGTCTCACGTTACCTTATTGAGTAACAGGCTACTTTCGTAGTAAAAAAATCCCGCCAAAATACAAATGTCGTATGTGCGCAAAGCGCATTGCGTACGGTTGAGCAGAGATCCATGTTATTATCGCACAGACAAAAAACGATACAAAAAAATTGCAACTATGTTGCAGTAATTTCTCGGTTGATTAAAAATTTCACTGTGTCTTGTTACGGACAAAAGAAAAATACTACGTATTGTTGCAAAATAAGCATGTTGTCACGGATTGAAACATCAAAGGAAGTAATTTCATTATCCACGTCCAATAATCGATTATTGAATATCGTCATAATCAATTAGGACAATAACTGAATCGTAACAACACTATTCATCCCACAAAGCCACACTTTCTTTACATATATACCAGCTTCATATAATACTGACTTGCGTATTCCTTGTATACCCGTACCCGACGAACCGCTCGTCGTGCACAGGCACGGTGTCCGCGGCTACGTAGAATGGCTCGTAGAGCAGTTCGAAGTTTGTTACGTTGTGGCTTTCGTGAGTCTTTTCGCTTTCATTGCCTCCAGACTCTTCCCACCTGAATATTAAAAACTGCCATTTAAGTCATCCTAAGTTCCTAGAAACAATACCTAAGGTCGATGGTCTTCCAAATCATAAAGTAAACATGATTTTAGTGTTATCCTGGTAGTTTCAAAGTAATAAATAGTTTCTGTAACCTATTAAATGTTGATTTCGCTCGTCCAGAAGCAAGCACTTTGGGCGCTGGATAATGAGGTCCCGGGGTCGATACCCGGTAGGACCAATTTGGGAAATGGACGATAAGTTTTGATCTGGATATTCCGGATAGTACCCCGGATCCCGTTGCACTGGCACTCATAGTACAGGGAATTTGCTACTATGAGACCAGTTGGTGTGGTTATTTGGCACACAATATTAATTTTATTAAATGATATCGGCACAGAATATCTTATCTTAAGCTCAGTAAATATTAATTATATTGTAGCATAGCATACTTACTTTGAAAAATTTGATGCGTATTGGTTGTAGATGAACACTTTTCTATGGAATGGTACTGCTAACTTATTTTTAGATAGTCTAATCAGCTCTGATTTGTTCGCTGGGAACTTGGTCACTCTCGTGTCCAACTCGTAAGTAGGCACCACATAAGCACACAACTGACACTTCGGTATCGTCGACAGGAATTGGTCCAGTGACTCTGCCATACCTTTAGACGGCACGATGTCGATATCCACCAGGAACATATAGGGCGTTTGACAGTTCTTTCTTGCAAGATTCCTCAAATGATTCTGAGGGTAAGGATGCTTCGACCTCCAAGCTACGGTATCAGGTCTTCGTCTGTTATGGGTAAGAGGATTAGAAAGACAATCCGTGGCTCCGCTTCGTATTGTACTTTCGTGAATTCCTGGCCTGTCTGCTGGGAAAGCAATGTGCAGCGCCATTCTTGCAATGACGTCTGGATGGCAATAATACAACCATGTAACATAAGCCCGAAGTATCGCTAGTTCGTCTCCCGCTACGAATACCGCCACGGACATTGGGCCGGACCAATGAGCAGCGATACTTAGGAGCTCGTGAAGCCTTTCTATGGTGCTTTGAGTCGCGAGGCAGACTTGTCTGTTCTCTGATATGACTGGGTAAAGTTCGCCCGTCGCTGCATAGTCAAAGAGACGGTAGGAGCGGGAACTGTCCCACCTATAATAATAGTATTATTTGTATCAATAACTTTCAGTTACGACACTAAGGGTCGTATTCTAGAACTCTACTCAATGCTCAAGTCAGGATTTGAGCAGACTTGAGTATGATTTCAAGCACTGCAAATACGACCCTAATGGCAAGGACTTGAGTATGATTTTCAGTGCTCACTGCAATACTCAAGTCCTGACTTGAGTACTGAGTAGAGTTCTGGAATATAACCCTCAGGGTCGTATTCTACAACTCTACTCAATGCTCAGTCAGGATTGCACTGGCAACACAAGCACTGGCACACTGGCACACAAGCACAATACGACCCTAATGGCAGGGACTTGAGTATGATTTCGACTGCTTTAAACCATACTCAAATCCTGACTTGAGCATTGAGTAGAGTTCTAGAATACGATCCTAAGTCACCATAGATCATAGACATTTTTTTGACCTTCACATTCATTTAAATTCTATTAAACATGCTATTAAAGAATCCTACTCTAATTACTCTCTGTAATTAGAGTAGCATTATTTAATAGCATGTTCAAAATATTTGCAAATAATAAATAGATACAGTTACACACACCTGCCTAAGCGAAGGTCGATATTGCTAATTGGGTCTTCGTAGGCGCTCGCTGTTGGCTGGGGACTGTCCGTGCAATGGTCACAGGTGACGGACTCCGTTGGTAGCGAAGTGACGGCGAAGGGGCTGGGCGGGCGCGCGGGGTGCAGTAGCCACAAATTAGTAACGCCGTTGAAGATGACCAGCCCGGTCGCGGCGAACGCGAATACACTCCAGTGACAGCGGTATCGCCACTAATGAAGACAATGATTGTTATAAATACCTAGATACGTACATTTCATGAAACCTACCTCCCATTACTTTAAAGGCGATTTTCACCTTCTGCAATTTCAACTTCTTTCCATTTCTTAAATATCGCATCAATCTGATTTGGATACTTTTGAGTGCCAGTGCGCCAGAAATTTATTTCGTTTGCGTGTAAATATCTAATTTGAGACAAAATTAGTATCGTTCATTATACACATATACCAACATTATAGACCATCTTTTTAACTCTGCAAATCGCGGGTTTGGAAAACTACAAGAACTCAAACAAAAACGTGACTCCCTAAGGAAAAGAATCAACATAATATCATTTATTACATATTACAATGAATTGCGATCTATTGTGATTGCTGGGCGTGCCATATTACCAGACTCTCTCGGCGTAATTTCCTCATGGTCCGCAGGGAGTAATGCGCCAAGCCCAGAGCGCCACCATCGTCAGCGCACCATGACTCCCACACCCCCGCGCCCGCCACCCCTCCAACCGCTTACTGAAACTACACAGTTATATACCTGCCTTATAAATAGAGAGCATAGTTCAAAAGTCAGAGTAAGTTTTTAAGTAAATGTTCTCATCAATTTCCATTTTGTCCATTTTGTGTACACTTTCCATGTTTGTCCCAGGCGGACAAGAAACAACCGAAAAAAGTTTAATTTCCTAGTTTTATAATATCGTGTCTGTACGCACACTAGTCATGTTTCAATAAATACGTAATTGTTAAATTAGTTCCTGCCTACATTTACAGTTATGCCTATATAGAAGGACATAAACGTGACAGAAACCAAGTTTTACACACTAATTACATCACACACGTGTCTTGATCGCGTGTTTCTAGTGGCATGTCGTCGTGTCGCTTCAAGTACTTATAATATGAGTATGTTTCTGCAGGCTTTAGCCTAAACAGACAAAACTCGTTAGGCTGGAAAATATTTTCTTCTATTCACAATTGTTCTGCTACATATTTATATTAGTGTGCGCGATGGTTATGCTATAAGGGCACGTTCCCATTATGTCGTAACGTTTTATTTATCGTTGGACGACAGTCGCGTGTAGCCTGTACCCTGTGCCTGTACCCTGTGACTGTGTCGTAGACGTTTATTTTATCGCTGAACGACTAGCGTGTCTAGCTGTTCCAACTAGATCGTGACGACAATTTGCCGGTTCGCGGCAGCCGCCTTGTCGTTCACATGGCAGACTGTCGTCACATTTTTGTCGTGACGTTTTATTTATCGTCGAACGAATGTCGTTTCAGCTCTTCCCATTGTCAAGACAATCTGTCGTCGTAACGTCAAGAAAGTCGTGAACCACAGTCAATCGTGTTGTTTTATGTGTGAACAACTTTATTTAAATATATAAGCCACAAGACTTTAAACTGAACGACTATCTGGTATCGCGACATAAAGGAAACACGTCCTAACAGTTGCAATGCCACTCAGCAGCTTGATTTTGATTGCATCTCCCGATCGGAAACTGCGCCTCTTCCGAGTCGTGGCGCATAACTGCGATTCACAACTGGCCCATCGGAAACTGATGACATTACTCATCGGAACAATAGTTGATTTAACTCACAAATTAGAAAGATATAGTAGGAATCAGGTTCATCTTCTCGCTCAGAAACCCACCTGATTTCGAGATTACCCGATTGGATCCATTCCGATTTGAATCAAAATCAGGACGCTGATCTTTAGGTAAATCGAAAAAAGATCTTAGGAGCACAACCAACGACCGCGCCCGTCACCTGTTAAGATTTGAGACATACATTCATCGACTCGCGTGGCGTATTGTAAGCGTGGGCCTTCAAACGCTATATTAAATCTACGTCACTTATAAAGTCATAAATGTAAACACGTAACGAAATTCAATTTTCGTAAGAAGTAGCCATTGGAACCATAAAATATTTAACAAATAATAGTTCATGCTTTTGGAGTAAGGACGCAAATTCCGGAAAATGGTGCGTTCAAATGGGTGTGGTTGCAACGTATATTACGCGCAGACGTGTGACAGACAAGACACAATGTATGCGCAAACCTTGAACGCTCCCCTGAACGCATCACACCGTTGCGAATTTGTGGCCATAAAATTACGAATTTCGGACAGAAGTATCCGGAAATTATTCAATTAAAGCACGCAAATAAGTCAGTGAACTAACTGTTTTGGTCCATCATTAGGCCACTTACAGTTACATACTATATAGAACATTTTAAGTCTAGTGATTGCCACGTGAGCGTGGAAGCTATGCAGACGGCCTGGGCGGCAATAGTCATAGGCTATAAATATTCACTAATCTAAGCACTTTAACACCGTCGTAGACGATCCTTATCCAGTTAAGAAAGGAAGAGGATTCGTCTGAAAACGCCAATCCAACACTGTCAGGAATGATAACAACCGTAAAATACGCCAACACGGAGTAATAGACGGTGATTTTTTTTTCATAATATCAAGTGACGGGACGAACGAGTCGTGCGCCTGATGGTAAGTTTCACACGCCTGTCCATAAAAGTTGCAGTGCCACTCACAGCTTATAATCGCAAAGATCTGAGGGTTACTGATACTGCGCACGTCACCCTGAGAAATAAATTGACAAGTCCCATGAGCCTGTAATTTCACCAGCACCCTTACCCTTCAAAACCGGAACACAGTAATGCTGACATCACTGCTTGGCGGCAGAAATAGGTAAGGCAGCACTTCCCTGAACGAACTCTTGCACAAGAAACTCTACTGCTGGTAAAATTCATTAAGCTATTCAAACACCAAGATTACCGAAGCTATAGGGACTAAACCTCCCTAGAAGAACCGGCGTAGAACGTAATGGGAACGCATAAACTTCCAAGAGAACTCTGTGATTCAGGTCAACTATAGTGGGGCTGTTATGTCGCAAAGAGATTTGTGAACTTGTCTGTAACATGTAGGTAAGTCATAAACTCATATATAAGAAACGTATCCATCAAAAAATATTTTTGCTCTCGAATGTACTACGCGGCTTTGGGAAAACTCTTGTCCACTATGGCTAGCACGACAAGGCGCGACTTGCGCGAGAGTGACATAAAGCGCGAGATTTCTATTTCGCACTTTATCTCGCTCTCGCGATAGTCGCGCCCTGTCGTGCTAGCCCTAAAGTTGTCGAGAGTTTCGAGTTGTAAAGTCAAGAGCACGTCAAGCTAGACACTTTATACTTTGGACCGTTCTTATCGTAAGCGGCACAGATTTGGATTTAAATCCAAATTTAAAGATTTAAATCTTAAGTGTCAAACTTGTCGTGCTCTTGACCCTGTGCAAGAATACCATTAATATAAGAATAGTGTTAATATTTACACCCTATACAATGCTCATCCGTAAATGTACATATCGACTATAATTTTAGTAAAATGGTTAATTTGTCGATTTACTCTCTGACCAATTTCAGAGGCAAACGTTAATGGAAAATTAATAAATTTCCAGTAGACATGTCGGTTATGTTCGATTACATTTTAAATATATTTGCTAGCTACCTTTTTCCACCGGAGTATAACTTGCCCCCCGTCCTCCTCGAAGCTATCGCGTAGCAGCTGTCCAATTTCGCGCGTACATAGAATATAGTTCCGAATTTGATTATTCAATTCACAAAAAGCGCGATATAATTTTGTTTAGTTCGAATAATACCTTACAGATTTTTTATGAATATTTTTTAGTTATTATTATATTAAATTCTGAGTTGGTTTTAGATGACTGTATAGCATTCTTGTAGCCAATGCTCAATAAATAAATAAAAATGTTTCTTTAGATTGATTTCTTGTTAATTTTTTTGTAATTACAGTTTGTACCTGAATTAATTTTTAGTATAAGTATATTATGTTTTAGGTTTCTTAATTATTTGTTATCTTAAAGATAGCTCTGTCGCTAATATGCCGCCAAGCAGTAATGTCAGCATTACTGAGTTCCGGTTTTGAAGGGTAATGGTGCTAGTGAAATTACAGGCACATGGGACTTGTCAACTTATGTCTCAGTGTGACGGGCACAGAGGCAGTGCCCCTCAGATGTTTGTGATTTACAGCTCTGAGTGGCACTGCAACTGTAACGGTCAGGCGTGTCGCTTACCACCAGGCCCACGACTTGTCCGTCCCACCACTTGATATCACAAACAAAAATTATTCAATTAATAAATTAATACTATTGCTATGACCGTATTTAATATTTTATATCTGTACGGTTAATTACCTTGATTTAATTTTAAAATAAATTATCAAAAAGTCAGGTCGTCTCGGTACAATAGTACATATGTATACGAGGTTAGTTTATTATTTTATAATAGTTTAATCTTCAATCTAACACTGCCAAGGTAATATAGTTCAAATGAAATAATTAGCCCCACACTAACCCTGGAAACCCGTATCGCGGGTGTTATGGACACACACATAGACAACCACAAATTACACCCAAACTCATGAGAGAAATAAATCTAGGCTTCTAGCAATCTATCGATGCAATAGGCAATCTAGGCAGGTTAGAAATATATGTATATATTTCTGGCCTGTGGAACCGAACCCGGGACCTCTGAGTGGCAAACCAGCATGATAACCGTTCGGCCACGAAGACAGTTAATCAAAGCACAGCGAACGAAGCTTTCTTACATCATCCACTCAAAACTTGCACAATCAGCGAACGGAATTACTCGGAATCGATATAAATAAAATTTGAAATTATCGTAAATATACATTGTTGGAGGCTGGAGGTAAGGAAGCCTGAATTTTGAATTTCGATCTGTGACATGAGGTAATTGAAATCAAGGGTCACCACATTAGGGTCAATGGGAGAGACGTATATTTATCGCAGTATCGAGTACGATTGTAAAATTTTTCGCACGTTCTAAAGTGCAGAACCATGAAAAAAATAACACGCACAAAATATATGCACTGCGAAAAAAAAGAATACTGTTGTGCTTTAGTAGGGAATCGGCGTTCCGCCCAATAATTACTTATCAATTTTCAACTCTGCCACGTTAGAATCACAAACAATGAAAAAGCAATAAAATTGAGCCAATTAAATTCACATCAAAAGTACAACGGCCATTCATACGCAAAAACTTAATATTTTTAACTTAATTAAATTTTTATAATGTATTCTGTTGATCGATGTCAAAAGCAACACCTGTGATTTCCTACGTTAAACTTTAACACACGTGAATTATGTTCTATGTTTAAAAGATTATAATATTTTAAAGATTATTCGTTTCAATGGGCTGTTTTATACATACCTCTATTAAATTTCTTGAATATTAGCAGACTTAATATTAATAGACAGTCAATTGTTTATTCTAATTTTAAGTAAATATAACTATCACTTGAATGCCTAAATTAACATAATCGCAGGGAGGCTATCGTCACTAATGCACTTAATTAAAACATTACTTCGATTACCACATCAATCCATTGTTATTAT